GTGTTTGCTGAGCACCCACCAAGAGCCCAGCCCAGGCCCATGGCAGGGGCCCAATGGCATGTGATGGGTGGAGCTGGCAGGATGCAAGGAGGCCCTGGCCCACTGCAGATGTGCTCCCCCCATTGCCAGGAGAGTATTAGACACAACCCCCGCCTCCCAGCCAGAGATGCCCATGAGCATCCCATGGTGGGAGGTGCCTCCTGCTGTGATGCCCTGGGGAGGGGAGACGGTGCCCCCCATGGAATGCTACATTGTATAGACTGTTCAGAGGTGAAGTGGCATCTTATTTAACCAGGCCTCAGCCAGACTGGGCAGAGCATTAAGGGATCTTATGATGATTATATCAGGGGTGGATAAGCGAGCTCTGTAGCCAGGCCAGATCTGTACAGAAGAACATGACATGGTGTCAGGAGTAAACTAAGAAGAAAAAAAACAGAAGGAAAACAGCAACAAAGCTTGCAGGATCTCATCAAGACGCCGCTCTTCAATGCCCCAGAGAACTTCAGCTTTGACAAACCTTCCCAATGGACAGACTGGAAGCCGTACTTGGCAAGATTTTACATTGCTATGACGCTGCATAAGAAACTGGAGACATGCAGGTATCATCTGTAATTTATGCCCGGGGGAAGCAGGCACAGCATGTCTTTAAATCCTTTGACTGTAATGAAGGCAGTCACAAATGAAAGGGGTCTGGCTATTTTGATGCATACTTTACACCTCAGAGAAATGTGGTTTATGAAAGAGCATGTTTTCACCAGAGAATTCAAGGACCAGGGGAAAATGTTGAATGTTTTATAAGAGCTCTGCAGACATTGGCTGTCATTTTGAGAATGCAAAACATGAAAATATTAGAGACAGACTGGTTATTGGGTTAACAGATAAAAACCTTTCTCAGCAGCCAAAACTGAAGAGAGATTTAACCCTAGCCACAGCTATTCAAATAGCAAAGCAGTCTGAGCAGGTGAGACAGCAAAACCAAGAGCAACTTGCCAAACTTGAAAAACAAAAAACTAGCTTAGAAGCTGTTAATAGATGCAGTATGAGTGCTAAGTCATTCGTATAAGACCCATGGCAAGGAGAGAGAACTCCCAGGCCAAGAGGGATAAATTCCAGCCTACATGCACAAGGTGTAGAAAAAGTCATATCCCAAGAGATGATGCATGTCCCGCCAAAGGTGCATGGTGTAATACATGCATGAAATATGGACATTTTGCCCCTCTTTGCCACACCAAATTAGTCAGGGAGTTGACTCGTATTACAGACCATCAAGAGCCATTGTTTCTGGGATCTATCACTTGTGATGACCCAGAGCCGGCCTGGAAAGTGAAACTGAATATTCCTGGCAAGACTATTGACTTTAAAATTGACTCGGGAGCTGACATCACAGTCACCTCAGAAGGATCTTACAATCCCCTTCAACCCCTCCCAGAGCTGAAGTCTAGCCCGGATTAGCCCTGGAGGGATTCTGAATTGCATGAGCCAGTTCACCACAGAAACAACTTACAAAGGCAAAAGCTATGCATTCAGAGTGCATGTGATCAAAGGATCACAGACCAACAACCTTCTGAGCCGCAGTGTGGCAGCCATGATGGGCCTAGTGAGAAAGGTGGAAGAATTCAATGGAATATTTGGTGAACTTGGACTTCTGAAAGGAGATCCAGTACAAATCACCTGAGGAGACAAAGCTGAGCCATATGGTGTACACGCACCTAGCAGAATTCCTATCTCATTACTTCATAAAGTGCAAACTGAGTTAAAGAGAATGGAGCTAACTGGCATAATTGAGAAAATCTCTGAGCCAGCAGCATGGGGCACCCCAATGGTACCGGTTATAAAAAAAAAAAAGTAAAAATATAAAATCTGTGTGGATCTTAAGACTTAATGAAGCAGTTGTAAGAGAAAAATATGTCCTCCCAACACTGGATGACTTCCTCTCCAAAGTGAAAAGAGTCCCAGTATTCATAGAACCACAGATTAGAAGGGACCGCAAGTGTCATCTAGTCTCACATCCTACCAAGATGCAGGATTTGTTGTATCTAAACCATCCAAGACAGATGGCTCCCCGGCCTCCTTTTGAAAACCTCCAGTGAATGAGCTTCTCCAAGCTGGATGCCTCGCATGGATTCTGGCGAATTTCTTTAGCCAAAGGAAGTGCTAAACTGATTCCATTGATCACATCCTTTGGGAGATTTTGCTTTCGACGATCACCTTTTGGGATTGCCAGTGCACCTGAAATTTTCCAAAGAGAAATGGCATCACTATTAACAGACACAAATGGAGTTGTAGTTTTCATGGACACTATTCTGATGTATGGATCTTTGATGGAAGAACACACCGAAACCCACAATGAAGTCCGAAGCCTCATCAGTCAAGCTGGATTCAAGGTAAACAAGAAAAATGTATTTTCTGCCTATCCCAAATTGAGTTTTTGGGACTGACAAGATGGAATCAGTCCTAGCCCTGAGAAAGTAAAAGCAATTTGAGAATTTAATGTACCAGAACTGAGAGGTATACTAGGAATGGTAAAGTACCTTGGTCGAGACCTACAAGACCTACCTACAGTTTTCCTACAGAAAAAGAATTCAGGGTCCAGATCATATGTGATCGAGACCGACAGTGGAGAGTTCAGTAGCAATCATCCGCATTTACAGTTTGCTCCTCAGAAAGAACAATCAACAGCGCAAACTCTGCAGATGGCAGATGCAGAACAAGAAGGATTCCAAACCAATCAGAGCCAGTCGTAACTAACGGACAGCCAGATGACCAAGTTGCTACGTGTTCAGTTCTGTAATTAGGAAACCAGCACAATTCAGAGACACTCAACAGCCTGATCCGTACTGAACTTCAAAGAGAGCGTGGCAGGGTAACTATGGTAAATGGTGGGAATGTAGAACTTAAAGAGGGAGAGGTAATGGAATGTTAAACTGTATTATACTATTCAGCCACTAGGTAGCGCTATGTGTACAACATTGTATTGAACCAGGCCTCAGCCATGCCTGGTGGAGGAATCTGAGCACACCTGGGGTGAGCAGCTCTGAGGCTAGGCCAGCTCTGGTACCAAGGAACACGACACGCTCGTGCTGCCCTCGAGAGGCTCAGGGGCAAGGACAGGACGTGCTCCCCGTTAGCCCAGAGGCAGAGGTGATGGAGCCAGAGGCCAAGTCCCACGTTCTAGTCCCTCCTTCCTAAGCAGACTTGTTGCTGTGACTGGGCGTGGAGCCGAAGGAACTCTGAGGCAGGAAGGGGTTAAATTATTTTTATTGCACATCTTCGACATACGAGGTGCCTGCTTTTGGGGGCTCCTCTGCCCCTCCACCTCCAGCCCAGGGCAGTGACCAGACCCCCTGGACCCTCCCTCCCCCACCTGGGCCAGTGATGAGACCCCCTGTCCCCTCCCCTCTGCCCAGGGCAGTGACCAGACCCCCGCACCCCCACCCCCACCCAGGGCAGTGTTGCCCCAGCAAACAACCCCCCAGCACCAGTGTAGGGTGGGGGCTGGGGATCTGCTCACAGCCGTGGGGAGCCCCCACATGCCAGGCCTGGGGGTAGGGTGACCACCTTTTTCAAAAGGCAAAAGTGGGACACATGCAGGAGCCCCGCCCCTTCTTTGGCTCCACCCCCTGCTCTTCCTCTTCCCACTCAAGGCCCTGCCCCCTGGCCAGGCCAGAAGCCAGAGCCAGGCCGTGGTAAGAGCCACCCAGGGAGGCCAGGCTGCTGTAGGGAGCCCCAGAGCCTCCACCTGCCCTGAGTGGGGGGCTGGGGTGCTTGACAGCATCTTGTGTCCCTGCCTCCTGGTGTGTGCCGCCCAGGGCAGGTGCAGAGTCTGGGGCTGCTCACAGCGGCCCGGGCTCCTTGGGTGGTTCTTACTATGGCCCAGCTCCAGCTTCCAGCCTGGCCAGGGGGCGAGACCTTGGCGGGGGAGGGGAGAGGAGGAGCAGGGGCGGGGCCTTGTGGCAATGGGGGGCTAAGGCCTACCTCAGTCCTGGACCGGGGCTTGAACTCAGCATTTCGGGACTGTCCTGCCTGATTCGGGACGGGTGGTCACCCTACCTGGGGGTGCCTTTCATCCTCACACCAGGGGCCCTAGGGTGCCCCCCCACCCCACACACTCACTCCCTCTTTCTCTGGCCAAGGGCTGCTGGCTCCACAGAGTCCGGCTGGGACCCACCAGAGCTTGGCTGCCCTCTCTCCCCCATAGGCCCGTCCAGGGTCTCTGTGTCATCAAGCCAGCCCCCCTCCCCACATGGAAATCAGCAGGGGCCAATTGGGGTCAAGCCTGCTCCGCCTACCTCCCCGCCTAGCTACCAGGGCAGGGATCCGGGGTCTCGTCCCCTCGTCCCGGCAGGGTTAGTGCCTACGCGTTAGATCTACACAGCGCAGCGTGTGCTGCTGATGCCCCCCTTCCCTCCCCCCATTCTGCTCTAAGGTTTGCGGTGGTGCCAGGCGGCCTCGGCGGAGCAGCGACGTGGAGAGAGGAGCCGCCTGGCTGGCCCAGCTCAGTAATACGTCTCCTTCTCCACCCAGCCTGGGGAAGGAAGGGAGAGAAGCTTGTCAGTGCCAGCAAACGGGGGAGCAGGCAGAGACGGAGCCCCCGGCTCCGGGGGTGCGCCTGGCTGGGGGGTGGCGGTGCCAGGGCAGGGTGAGAGGTACAGCGGGTCAGACATGGGCCTGGGCTGGGGGGGACATGACGTCCATTCCCTGCTCGGCACAGCCACCCTCCAGAGCCGAGCGTCTCTGCCAGCGGGCAGCTCACGGGCCCCGATCCAACCCCAGGGCAGCAGGGCCTGTTGCCTTCCCCTCCCAGGCACCAGGTCGAACCCTGGCCCAGGGCAGCAGGGATAGAGGGAGCTGGGGAGCCCTGTGGCAGAGTGGGAGTAGGGTGGGGGTGGGTGGGAGCGTGTGGCACTGCGGGGGGGGAGGGACGAGAGGGAAGGGGGCCCATGGCAGGCAGGAGCTCACCACCAGGATAGCGCCGCAGGATCAGCTTCCGCACTTCATCGTACACAAAGATCAGCAGGCTGTAGGGGAAGGCGCAGAACCACCAAGTGACCCTGTGGGGGGCAGGGGGAGCGTTAGGGGCTGTGCCATGGGGGGATTCTGCGGGGGGGAGCCCTAGGGACTGCGCTGCCGGGGGGGACCCTGTCGGGGGGGGCGCTAGGGACTGCGCTGCCGGGGGGACCCTTCCAGGGGGAGCCCTAGGGACTCCACTGCTGGGGGGAACCCTGCTGGGGGGAGCCCTAGGGACTGCGCAGCCGGGGGGACCCGGAAGTGGGGGGG